TGCAACACGTGTGAGATGGGATGTTGGGTATGAGATGTGTCCTCTTGGATAGAAATGAGCAGAAATAGTTGACTTCCAGAGAAATTTTTTCATGTTTAGGTGGAGTTTGTGCCAGTTTTTGGTAGAAGAGAACCTGACCCAACAAGCAGATCTGTCAGCTACAGGAAGCTTCTTTTTAGTGGCTAATTGGGTGGCTTGGGCAGAAGATGATTTGAAAATGAAGTCAAATATTGTCCTGGCTTCTGCTTATTCTCTTCCTTCCTTTCCCCTGTACTTGGTCCTGCCTTCATTCCTCCAGACAACCATCCTGAACAAACATCTCCAGAAACTGATGGATGGTTTGACTGCCAAAGTGTTCAGAACCTACAACGCTTCCATCACCCTGCAGGAGCAGCTCAAGGCCCTCACTAACTGTGAGTCACTGACCCTCTTTGTGGTGTCACCAGCTGCAGTGTGCAGCCAATGGGCTCAATGATCTGCATCCATGGGTTTTGGGTCCCTTAGAACTACCTGTCCCTCCTTGGCAGGTGATGCACCATGGTGTAGGGTGGTATGGAACTCATGGGGCCGTGCAGCAGGTTGGGAACCCAGGAGAAGAAAGGCATGGACCTGTTGGAGTGGGTCCAGAGGTCATGAAGATCATCAGGGGCTGGAGCAGCTCTGCTGTGGGGTCAGGCTGAGAGAGTTGGGGCTGCTCAGCCTGGAGAAGAGAAGGCTCTGGGGAGATATTGCTGCAGCCTTTCAATACTTAAAGGGGGCCTGTGAGGAGGATGGGGACAGTCTCTTCAGCAGGTCCTCTTGGGACAGGACAAGGGGGGATGGATTAAACTCCAAGAGGAAGGTTTAGACTAGAGATAAAGGAGAGATGTTGGACACTGAGGCCCCTGGCCCAGGTTGCCCCAAGAGGTGGTCGCTGCCCCATCCCTGGCACCATCCCAGGTGAGATTGAGGGCTCTGAGCAACCTGCTCTAGTTGGGGATGTCCCTGCTCCCTGCAGGGGGTTGGACTGGATGACCTTGAAAGGTCCCTTCCAACACAAATGATGCTCTGGTTCTATCTCAGTGACAGCCTGACTGAGCTATTCCTTTCCCCCCCTTCCTTGCCTTCCTGGTTGGTCACATTATTTCTTCCTACCTTAGAATCCTAGAATCCTTTAGGTTGGAAGGGACCTCCAAGATCCTCAAGTCCAACCCTTGAGCCATTAGGGCTCTAAAGTCCTCTGCTAAAACAGATCAGAATCTGTCAGGGTTGGAAGGGACCCCAAGGATCCCCCAGTTCCAACCCTTCTGCCATGAGCAGGGACACCTCCCACTAGATCAGGCTGCCCAGAGCCTCCTCCAGCCTGGCCTTAAAGACCCCCAGGGATGGGGCCTCAACCCCCTCCCTGGGCAACCCATCCCAGGGTCTCACCACTCTCCTGGGGAAGAACTTCTTCCTCACATCCAGCCTGAATCTGCCCACTGCCAGCTTTGCCCCAATCCCCCTAGTCCTGTTGTTACTCGATAGCCTAAAAAGTCCCTCCCCAGCTTTCTTGTAGCCCCCCTAAGACACTGGAAGGCCACAACATGAGTGATGAAGGACAGTCTCAGCTTCAGTGATGCCCAGTTGTCCTTCACCACTTTCCACAAGTATTGCTCCCCCGTGGGAAAGGCAGACGAGCTGCTGTGGGTCTGGTCTGTCCCCTGCCTCCCCCAGCTCCCAGGAAGGAGACACAGTGAAGCTGTGTCCATCTCTTTCCAGCTGAGGACAGCGTTGCAGGAAAGCTCCTCTCCTACAACCGAGCCAACCGAGCCGTGGCCATCCTGTGCAACCACCAGAGGGCTACACCAAAAACCTTTGAGAAATCGATGCAAATCCTCCAGACGAAGGTGAGATGGACCAAGCTGAGAGCCCCCAGACCTGATCCTCACCCCTGATCTTCTCTGGGGAGGTGATGGGGGAAGGTCGGTGTCCTGATGCTTGAAGAGATCACGTGGATCAGGTGTGGTAGGGGTTGAACCAGTAGGAGCTCCTTTACTCAATACAGAGACATCAGCTTCCCAGGGGTGGAGAAGGATGGGGGGAGCTCAAATGCTGCATGAAACACGCTTGGCACAGAGATATTTGGGGTTTTTTGGTCTCTTCAAACCAAGCTGGGTGCCTTTTGTGATGGCACAGCTACCACACGATTGGCTTTGGGCCCAGGGAAATTGTCCTGGCTGGCTGTTGGCAGGAGGACCAGCTGGAATCTCATGGCTCTGCTATGCAAATACCTCAAACCACCACTTCGAATTGTCCTCAGCTTTTGTCCACGCCCTACTGCTGAGCTGGGGACTTTGCAGAGGACTCCAGTCATGAGCCAATCTTGGGCAGTTGCACAAGGTGACCAGAGAAGAGCTGTGAATCTTCCTCCATCTGTGCTGTGAGGATGTTTTGGAAGATGCTCAGAAATGCTTGAGCTCCAGCAGATGCTACAGGGGCCAAATTGGTGGCTTGGGAGTAGGGCTGGTATGGAATTGAGGAGAAATGTGGCCAGAAAAAGAGGGAGGAAGCTCCATCCTCCAGGGAGGACAGGAGTGTGGGCTCACTTTGTATTTACCTTCACAGATTGATGCCAAGAAGCAGCAGGTGGAGGAAGCCCAGCAAGAGCTGGCAAAAGCTGAAGAGGAGTTTGAAGACACAAAAGATGCCAAAGCAGAAGCGTGAGTGACTCTTCCTTATGATCCTTTTTTTTGCAGAGGGCCAGCAGGTGGGGGTGGTGTTGGGTTGCCCTTGTCCCCTGGAAGCTTGGGAGATGGGTGGAGGTCTTGTGGATGGTTTCTTGTGGGTTTCTTTGTGATGGGACAAACCTCAACGAACAGTGAGACTTCAATGCAGACCACAACTACTCTTTATTTCATCTCTGCTGCTTCTTCCCCTTTAATGTGTTGTCTGAGTGGTTCTCCCTCTGTCCTCAGCAACGTGGAGAAGAAAAAGAAGCTGTTGAAGAGGCTGGAAGAGCAGCTGGCCAAGCTCAACGTCCAGGCTACGGATAAGGAGGAGAACAAGCAGATAGCTCTGGGCACGTCCAAGCTGAACTACCTGGACCCCAGGATCAGCATAGCTTGGCAAGTCTTGGGCAACTGATCACCTAGCATTGCTTGGGGAGGGGGATAAACCCACACCTGAGAGTTTGGGGGGAAAGGAGTGAACTTCTGACCAGAGGAACCTGCCTAAGCCATGGAAGTGTTGGAGGCCAACCCAAAGTTCAGGCTTCCCTTGCTGCAGATGACTGTTTGCAGGACCACAGAATGGCAGGGGTTGGAAGGGACCTCTGGAGAACTCTCACCCAACCCCTCTGCTAGATCAGGGTCATCCAGAGCAGATTGCCCAGAAGGGTTTGGACTCTCTCCAGGGACTCCACAACCTCTCTGGGCAGCCTGGTCCTGGGCTCTGGCACCCTCACAGGGAATCATTTTTTCTGCATGTTCAGTTGGAACCTCCTGGGTTCCAGCTGGTGCCTGTTGGCCCTTGTCCTGTCCCTGGGCACCACTGACCAGAGTCTGGCCCCAACCTCTTGCCCCCTGGGACCCTTGAGCTCTTGCTCAGCACTGCTCAGATCCCCTCTGAGGCTTCTCCTCTCCAGCTCAGCAGCCCCAGGGCTCTCAGCCTGGCCTGGCACAGAGATGCTCCAGCCCCTCAGCATCTTGATATCTTCTGCTGGACTCTCTCCAGTAGTTCTTTGTCTCTTTTGAACTGGGGAGCCCAGCACTGGACACAACCCTCCAGCTGTGGTCTATCTAGGGCAGAGTCAAGGAGGAGGAGAACCTCCCTTGACCTGCTACCCAGTTTTCATGCACCCCAGGAGACCGTTTGCCTTCTTGGCCAGGAGGGCACGTTGCTGACTAGTGGTTAACAAGGACATTCCTTCAGGGTTTAGGGCAAGAAAGGGTCTCTCTGAATGTCTTGGGAGTGGCACAAAGTTCATTTCTTCAGGAGCCTGGGGCTGTGGAGTTGGCATGGGTTGAAGGTGCTGAACCCTGAGTGATGTTAGGAGAAAGTTCTACAATCTGAGGGTGATGGACCACTGGAATAGGTTGCCCAGAGAGGTGGTGGAGGCCCCATCCCTGGGGACATTCAAGATCAGGCTGGATGAAGCTCTGAGCAGCTTCATCTAGTTGATATCCCTGCTTATGGTGAGGGGGTTGGACTAGATGACCTTTGGAGGTCCCAGCCCAGACATTCTGTGATTCTAGGAGTGTAGAGGACTGCTGTGGTGGGAGGGGACTGGCATGAGGAGCACATCCTCACTTCTCTCTTGTGCTCTCCATAGGTGCAAGAAGTTTGGTGTGCCCATTGAGAAGATCTACAACAAGACTCAGAGGGAGAAGTTCGCCTGGGCCATCGACATGACTGATGAGGACTTTGAATTCTGAGCCAGTGCCTCTCCTGTCACCTTCTCCTGCTCGTTTGGTGCTGGGAGGTTGTCTAGAGGAAGTTTGATGTAGTTATTTTGTGCCTTTTCTGTTTTGCACAGAGAAGAAAACGCCCAGTTTCTACCTGAGCTGGGTACTTGTGACCCTCCCCCTGACTGCTGTGACTCTGATGTGAACTTTTAATTCCTCTTCAGAGCTTTGGAGCTTTCCTTTCCTCCCCCAGAGTCTGGGGAGAAGATTGAACAAGAGCCTTAATTGGGCTGACAAACGAGATTAGATCTAATCCCATCACCTTGATGTGGTGGAAACACCAGGGAGTGACAGCACCAGTGCAGGATGAGACCTGGCCGTGGGTCGGGGATGCACCAGGAGGGGGGAAAACATCTCAGGGTTCTACATCTCAGGGTGGTTTGTGCCCTTTGGCTTCCAGGAGAGGAGAAAATGGTGCAATGGCCCCAAACATCATCAATATGTAGAAATCTTGTGGGAGGAGGAGGAGGTGCTGGATTAAAAAGCAAGGATGAGATTCACCTTGGTGTGAGTGTCCCCTCAACCTTGGTCTAGGAGAGGACATCTCCTTTGGGGCTCTATTCTTGCCCCTGCTCCCTTCACTTGGCTCTGTCTCAGCTCATTGTGTCCATAGAAGAGACTAAAGGGTCCAGCCTCAGATTTGGAGCTGGGAAAGGAGGATGTTGAACTGCCAGGCTGGACCCAGCTACCGTGAGGTGTGAGTGTGATGGGGAGTGGTCCCATCTTGCTGGGGTGTGGGGTGACAGCTTTGTCATCAAGCTAAATCCTCCCCAGCCTGCTCCTGCTGGGCTTGGAGCAGGTAGGGACCCATCTCTGGAGAACCACTGGTGCTTGCTGCTTCATTGGCTGCAAAAAAAAACACCCCAAGTGAGCTCAGCATGTACCTGGCACCCCTTTGCCCACCTCCCAGTGAACCTCAGCTGGAAGCAAGCTGTTGTCTTTGGCAGCACAACCTTCTGGTGTCACAGCCCAAAGCTCTTCCCACGTGCTCAGCCACTTCTTCTGTTCCAAGTGGTGCTGTTTGGGATGGGAGGCAGGTACTTGAAATGGGTTTCATTCAAGCTGGAGGTGATTTGTTTTCCTCTTTGAGCATTGGGGGCTGGAGGCTTTTTCCCAGCCCAGAGGTGGTTCTGCTGTGAGCTGATGGGCAGAGCTCTCAGCCAGGGCTCAGCCTCTAGAATGAGGTCTGTTGATGCTCAGTTGGCTGCAGGGGATGAGAAATTCTTTACCTACAAGCATAAAGCTTGCCTGCAGACCTCCAAAAAAACCATAGGCTTGGTCCCCAAGGGCCTGTATGCAAAACTGAGCCACCAAAATGGAATTTGGTGATGACAGAGTCATCACAAACATCAGGGGACAATGCATGGGTCAAATAAATGTTTTATCTCCTGTCTGCAGTGGAGTGTGCTCCATGCCTTGGCTGAGATGTGGCAGCTTGTGTGACTCTAACTGGGCTGTCTCCTCCAATCCCAAGAGCTCACGTTTGGTTTTAATGAGGCAACTGACTCCAAAAGCAGGGATTGAAACCAAGCTGAATGGTGGCAAAGGTAGCCCTCTCATCAGCTGCACTAGCCACAGGCAGGAGCTGCCAAATCTTGACCACTGTGTTGGATTGGGAGCTCTGCAACAGGTGGATGGAGATGGGTTTTTGTTTCTGCCCACCCTGATAAATTTTGGTTTTTTGAGAGTTTAAAAGTGAGTATTCGCCACTAAATGTGGTGGAAAATTTGTTCCATCCCAAATAAGGGAGAAAAAAAGGAACAAGGTGCACTTGGATGAGCCCTGTGAGTGTCTCCATTGAACCAATCAATATTTTCAAGTATTTCCTAGAGGAAGAAGTCTCTCAAACACCACGTGAGAGAAAGGAGCTGCATCAGGAAAAGCAGCTACAGCAGCTCGACCAACTTAAGGGGGAATGTGGAAAAATCACCCCAGAAAGCAAATCCTGCTGCAGCTTTGAGGGGAAATGGGGGTTGGACAAGATGACCTTTAAAAGTCCCTTCCAACCCAGAACATTCTATGATGAAATGAGTAACTTTAGTCCTTGGCTTCTTCTCCAGAAGGTTCCCACCAGGGCTGGGATCCTCTGTTGGGTTCATGGGGTGGAAAGGTTGGGTCGTTGCTGTCCCAACACGGTCCTGTCCATCCTCATCCTCTTTTTGCTGTGGTGATGGAGCCACAAAGTGATGTCAGGGCTGTGTAGACCTCCCATTGTCAGCTAAAGAGCAACTCTGGGCTGTTCTGTAGGAGCTGAAATGAAGTGGCCTTTCCTCAAAGGGTGTGTCACCTTGTGCACCACTTCTCTGGGGCTTGCCCACTTCTATCAAAACCTTTGGGGAGGCTGAGATAGTGCCTGGGAGGTAGGAAGCAAAGCAAGGTGGAGAGTTCATGAGTTTTGTCACAAACCTTGGGGTGAGTAACAAAAGGTTAAGCTTTAAAGAGAGGCTGATAAGCCCAGGGAGTGTCCTCTTGGTCCTTTGCCAGGAGAAGTGAGATACAGGTTAAGGAGCTGAGCTGCTCCTGGTTGACATCCCAGTGCCATGAAGCCCTCAGCCCACCTGACAGGCATTTTTTTTCCACTGCTCAGGACCCTGTGGAGCTGAATCGTGGCCCATCAGAGACAGCTAGGAGAGCAGGAGTCCTCTTCCAGCTCAACAGTTTGGAGGGATTTGGGGACTCCAAGCAACACTGGTACAATCAGATCCATCTCACCTCGTTTGCTCCTTCCAGGGATGTTTTCAATGCAGATTTTTCTGTAGGCAAAGGGAAAAATCTGTGCTTGGATGCCACTTGGTAGCTCAAAGTCAACATGTCAACATTAGTGAAATGCTAAGTCAAAAGTTTAACCCTTTTTCCTTTGCAGTCACTGCCCTTTTCTTTATTATTTTAAAGAGGAAACAAAAAATGTAGTAAGAAGGGAAGATTTGGTTCTTCCCTTGGTAGAAGTGCTACCTCCCACTGGAACTTCTTGGGCTCCTAAGGTGGTTTTTTTATAAAAGCCTGTTGTACATATTGGTTGGGAGGAGACCACAAGGTGAATTGACCAAGAACAAAGCTCCCAGTGATACTGGGATGGGCTTAAAGCTGCTCCAGTTACACAATGATGCTTAAATGAACCTCCTGAATTTGTCTCCCTGCCTCCAGGCTGGGGCTGTGCTGGTGTGTGATGGCACAAGGGGCAGCACTGATACTGTGGCTGGCTGATAAGATAAACTTCTGAGGGGTAGGAGGTAGTGAGAAGTTCCTCTCCTCTTGTTTTGGCATCTGCTGCCCACGCCCAGCCCTTTCCCAGG